GGGCAAAAGAAGAAGGGGACAACAGAGAATGAGGTAGCTGGATGGAGTCACTGAAGCAGTCGGAGTGAGCTTAAATGGACTCCGGGGAATGATAGAGGATAGGAAGGCCTGGAGGAACATTGTCCATGGGGTCGTGATGGGTCGGACACGACTTCACAACCACCAACAACTACTACTGCTGCCACTGGGGTTATCTCACCATCAATGCCCCTCATGTCCAATCCTCTTCAGTTGCTCCCAAGAGCAACTTTTGCCTCTCTTCTTTCCCAAAAGTCAACTGGTGTTCTCTCCTATTGGCAGTGAAAAGCAAATGTTGATAAGAGAAGAACAGATGCTCTTAGACAATTTGTTGCTGGCTAGTTTACACCCTCTCATTGGCTCCCTGGAAGGGTGGGGTAGCAGTGCAGTGTGATGGATTGTGCACCTGCAGCAGCGGGGAGGGGGTGTTTTTTGCCAACTCAGAGGTTTCCCAGAAAGAGGCCCAGATTAAGAGGCTGCACAGTCCACAGCTGGATGTGGGGAAGGAGGAAGAGATTCAAGGTAGCCTAGAATCTCTCAGGATATCTTTAACCGGCTAGAGAAAGTTTGGCAAGATTCTGTCCGTCAGACACAAACCAATAAAGGATTGGATTTGATGGCATATCATTGTCTCATCCTTGGACTTTAGCTTGGCCTTCAGCTTTGCAAAGCCACTGCTCAGATTTTAATGGTACAGGTAGTCCTCGACTTACGACCACATTTCTGCCAGGTTAAGCGAAACATTTCTTAAGTGAATTTGCTCCATTTTATGACCGTTCTGGCCACAATTGTTAAGTGCATCCCTGCAGTTGTTTAATAACAGAGGTATTAAGTCAATCTGGTCAGAAGGTTGCAAAAGGGGAACATGTAACTCTGGGACATTACAACCGTCATAAGTACAGGCCAGTTGCCAAGCCTCTGAATTTTGATCACATGACCACGGGGATGCTGCAACAGTCTTAAATATTTTCAGTACTGTTGTAACTTTAAACGGTCATGAAACGAACTGCTGTAAATTGAGGACTATCTAGATTATCGAGACTGCAGGGAATTATCCTATGGCGGGTTAATTTTCACCCTGATGTGACAGCTGCTGATCTAAATGTGATACGTTAAATTATGGTTTTCCTTCTACAAGCATAAAGATAGTTTGGGGATTATTTCCTCTCCTATTGAAAAAAATAACCTACAGGTGTTTTTTTTAAAATCTAGAACTGGAAATACTTAATTAAGGCACAGTAATTTAAGTTCATTTAATTGTCCTTGTTTTCAAATGCCATGATAAACATCTGGCATTGTTTTCAGTGGCATTTAAATTCTTCTAATCCTGTCTTGAGTGAATCTTATCTGTTAACGTACATTCATATTTGAAGAGTTGGCGTAATTGTTACGATAGACTTCACGTGCAAAGCTCCATAAATTCATTAGAAATGACAACAGCATCTAGTGGAATTTAACTTTTCTGGATCATAATCAACCATTTCAGACTCATGTATCCAATAAATTATAATTATAATTACAATTATAATCCATGTATTTTTATACTAGAACAAACACGATCGCATTTTAGAATAAAATTATAAAAACGTACTACAATCGTACACTAGAAAAGCTAAAATTAGTTAAGGTGCTCCAAGATTCTTCATGGCTTTTACTAAAACAAAACAAAACGAACAAATGCAGCTACTCCTCTACAAACTATTTAAACACAGTTCACGATAAAGAAAAGTGACAGTGGCAATGCATAATTCGTCATCTATAAAAATATAACCTCTATTATTTACATAGAAAAGCACAGTTGCAAAGAGATGAAGATTTTTCTCGCCCCTTGGAAAGCTCTCGCGAGGCAGCTTCGTTTCACTGGCTTTGAAAATAATGGTTAAATCACATTGACCTGCAGCATTTTCTCCAAAACCTCAAGGCACTGTGGAATGGGGCCTTCCCTCACTTTATCCCAACAACGACCCTGCAAAGTAGACTGAATTAAGAGACTTGGGGGTGGCGGGGGACCACACAGAATTTATCAATATGTTTCTGGAATGTACATTAAAATGGGGGAGGGCATTTAGACTTTGGGTTTAAATGCCTTTAATTATTTGCATTTTTTTTCCTAGGAGCAGATAATGGAACCGGACTATGGGGATTCCTTCAAAATCACTGCGTCAAAATTGAGCCTAAATCCAAATTTAGAAAATGCAGGAGACTGAAGCATTATTTAGTCCAGCATATAAGTTTTTGTGTATACCAAACTTCAAACTTGGCAATAGAATAGAATAGAATAGAATGAGCTGGAAGGGACCTTGGAGGTCTTCTAGTCCAGCCCCCTGCTCAAGCAGGAGAGCCATTTCATATAAGTGACTATCTAGAAGGAGGGAAGGAAGGAAGGAAGGAAGGAAGGAAGGAAGGAAGGAAGGAAGGAAGGAAGGAAGGAAGGAAGGAGCAAGAAAAAGAAAGGAAGAAAAAGAGAAAGAGGGAAAGAAAAAATAAAAGAAAGAGGTATGGGAAGAAAGGAGAAAGAAGGAAAGGAAGAAGGAAGGAAGGAGGAAGGAAGGAATATAGATTTCTTTATCCACAATGGAGCTCTTTAAGCCTTGTGGACTTCAACTCCCAGAATTCCAAGCCCTTCACCATGGCTGGCTAGGGAATTCTGGGAATCGAAGTCCACAAATATTAAAATTGCCAAGTTTGGAAATCTTTCTGGTGTACACTAAACTTGGTTAGGAAAAGAAGTCCATGTATTTTGGAAGAGAAATGCTTGCAAGAGAAAGAGATTTTTTCTTTTTTTTTAAAAGAAGGAATGTAACAGAATATTCTTAAATTGCACTCAAATTCTGAGGGAAAGTGCCAAGATTGGACAAATTGGATTTTGGGAGGAGGGAAAGGATTCACGGCAAAAATGTTTTGGGCCTCATCATCATTTTAACCTTCCTAAAAGCTTTCCGGTAACCGTTCATGTTCTGATCAGACGGTTCCGTCCACGTGGCCCAAAAAATGCCATCGCGGACCCCTTTATATTTCTTGTTGTAATATTTGCCGTTGAGATTCGCAGCCAGACAAGCATCAAACCACCATCCCGAGCTATAATAGGCACCACAGTTGCCCGAAGAGTACTGGTCATTGTCCTTGTCCGGGGTGCTGAAGAACTTTTGATCGTGGCTGTAGCGTTTGCTGTAGTGCAATGAGTCTCCGGCGTTGCCGGTGTAGGTGCCGATGGCTAACCGGTATTTGAGATACTCGTTGGCGACGTAGAACTGGTCGTATTTGGCGTATTTTCGGACGCCGTTGAAATCTTCCAGCTCGATTCTCAGCTCCATCTCCTTGTTTTTGGTCAGGAGGTGGATTTTGTCGTTGCCCAGCCAGAACTCCTTATCGTTGCCAAAGCCCTTCTTGTAGGCCTCCCAGCTTCGGTTGAAGGAGACGCTGCCGTCCTGGCGCATCTGGAAGACGGTCCAGCCCCCTCCAAAGGACTCCATGTCGCAATGCACCTCAAAGCTATGGTTTCTGGGATCCGGGGTAACTTTGTAGATGCCGCTCCGCCGGCTCCCGGTGGCGAAATAATTGGAACAGTCTCCTTGAAGAAGCTGGATGACTGGAGAGAGGGAGGGAGGGAGGGAGGGAAATGGCAGGTTATCACAAGTGACAGGCTATTTTGACTTATCTAGCATAGTACCCAAGGATGCAATTGGGATGAGATTGTATTTCCAAAAAAGAAGTTTTTTTAATTGGCGTTAGAACATGTGTAAAGAATAAAATATTCTGTCCTGTCAAGGAATTCCTTCCTTCCTTCCTTCCTTCCTTCCTTCCTTCCTTCCTTCCTTCCTTCCTTCCTTCCTTCCTTCCTTCCTCTATCTCTACCATTTCCTTTAATAAAATATCTTACAGTCATTGAGATCTCCCTTCCTTCCTCCCTCCCTCCATCCTCCTACCCACCCTCCCTCCCTCTATTTCTCTTCCATCTCCTTTAATAAAATCTTAATCATTGAGATCTTCTTTCTTTCTTTCTTTCTTTCTTTCTTTCTTTCTTTCTTTCTTTCTTTCTTTCTTTCTTTCTTCTTCCCTCTCTCCCTCCCTCCCCCCTCCCTCCCTCTCTCCATCAATTTTTCTACCATCTCCTTTAATAAAATCTTAATCATTGAGATCTTCTTTCTTTCTTTCTTTCTTTCTTTCTTTCTTTCTTTCTTTCTTTCTTTCTTTCTTCTTCCCTCCCTTCCCCCTCCCTCCCTCTCTCCATCAATTTTTCTACCATCTCCTTTAATAAAAGTCATTGAGAGCTCCCTCCTTTCCGTCCTTCCTTCCTTCCTTCCTTTTTCCATCCATCCAGCCATCCATCCATTTCTGTACCATCTCCTTTAATAAGTCATTGAGATCTCCCTCCCTCCCTCCCTCCCTCCCTCCCCCCTTCCTTCCTTCCTTCCTGCCTTCCTTCCTTCCTTTCCTTTCTTCATTCTTTCTTCTTTCCTTTCTCCATCCATCCCTCCCTCTATCCATCCAACCATCCATTTCTGTATCATCTCCTTTAATAAAATATCCTACAGTCACTGAGATCTGCTACAAGAACTCTTAGAGGCAAAAAATTTTTTATCACAACCTTCCTATCGACAGTTCAAAAGATTTACAGCAGCTGTTCTCAACATCTGTGAGATAGCTTTTTCTGGGTGGAGTTGGATAAGAGCTGGCCTCGTGATTTTTACTACTGTCCTCTCAGGGAAAACAGATTGATTTATTTCTAAGAAAAGTTAACTGAAAACGAGTCGGTGATGGCCAGTTGTTTGTAGAAATAGCAGTAACTCTGCTATTAAAGTAGTCCTTGGCACAATATTCTCTGAAAATGGTCATTTAATAGGACAGCAGTGATTTCCTATAATAGTGGTATTGCCTAACGTTTTGGTTTTGGCACCAAACAGGAATGTAACACTTTATATATTTTTTAACAAAAAAGGTCTTCCAGCTGTTTCCCAATTATTATAAATCATTTATGTCATTGTCTTTTAATGTCATTATGTCATGGAAATAGGCAAGACAATTCACATGAATTTTTTCTTTTTCTTACACACACTTTGTTAACGTTGCAGCATTTCATTTATATTTTATAGAGAATGAAATGTTGATTCTTATATAAATACGCTGGAGTTGTCATTTGGAGATGCCAGGAGCCAGAGTATTATCGCTTCAAATACTTAGGTGATCTGAGTGGTGTGATGGTTGCAAGTCAGACACATTAATCCTTGTTTAACAACTTGTTTAGAGACCACGTTAACTTATGCTGGCACTGAAAAACTAACTTTATGATGAGTCCTTGCACTTACGACCATATTCCTTTATTCGAGTTAGTTCAAGGCTCTCCAAATTTGGCAACTTTAGGACTTGTGGACTTCAACTCCCAGAATTCCTCTAGATCAGGGGTGTCAAACCCAAGGCTCGATCCTGCCCACAATGTGGGGCCACCCTGCAAAATGTAAGGGGCCAGTCCGCATCGCTTCGGCCCAGTCTACCCAAAGCGAAGAGGAAATATCGGCCCAGCCTGGCTTTGGCCCAATTGACCCACATCATTTTGGCCAGGTCAACCCAATGGAAAGAGGAAATACGCCAGCAGTTTGGGGAGTGTCACCAAGCTGGCCATGCCCACCCAGTCGGCCATGCCCGCTCGGTCTCCCGAGGTCAACCACAACCCCAGTGGTGGGATTCAAATAATTTAACAACTGGCTCTCTGCCCTAATGACTATCTGGGTAGGTGGGGCTCGGTGGTCATGTGACTGGGTGGGCGTGGCCAACTCAAGGTCACTCAGGTCGATGGGCGCTTCGCCTTAGCTGTTACAATGTAGCAAGGGTTAACCAGAGAGGCAGTTTCTGTAAGCAGATCAATAAAGATTAGGCTAGAAACAACATCAGAATGTTTCCTTCCTGCCTTCCTTACAGGATTAGCCCTGTAAAGTGGAAAAAAACAAAAGGAGATTTCTTCCAACAACCGGTTCTCCGAACTGCTTAGAAAGTTACCAACCAGTTCTCCCGAATAGGTGCGAACTGGCTGAATCTCACCGCTGCACAACCCTGATGTGGCCCTCAATTATATTGAGTTTGACACCCCGGCTCTAGATTTAAACTCCCAGCATCACTCAGGCAGCCATGCTGGCTGGGGAATTTTGGGAGTTGAAGTCCAGAAGTCCACAAGTTGCCAAGTTTGGGGAACCTGGGGGCAGATTCAGGATGATTTGGCATTGTGAATGTGACGTGGAAATGAAGGTGTTATTTCTCCGACGATAGTTAAAATGTCACTTTTAGGCATAGTCAGTATGCAGAGATGCACTGAATTTCCATGTGGCTTTATTGAAGTGCTTTTAATCAGTCTGGGAGAAAGCAAATGGTGGACATGTTCCTCAGCAAAACAAATATTGGATAAGGATTAAAAAATGGTTAGAGGAAATGGTAAAACTGCAAATAGAGTTAAAACCGGAACTATTCCTGTTAGACATATTATCAGGGAAATCTAACAAAAAAAATCCTATATTTAATATGATATGTAATAACGGTGGCTAGAATAGTATAAGTTCAAAACTGGAAAAATGGAAATACATCCTCTGAGGAAATATAATACAGGAGATATTAGACTGTGCTGAGATGGATAGGTTAACCATGGAAATCAAAGACAAAGGAGAAACACAATACTACTTAATTTGGGATGTATATTATACATACATCCCAATATATACTATACATCCCAAATTAAATCGTATTCTGTTTCTCCTTTGTCTTTGACACTATAATTGGCTTGACAGTAGATGCAAAGAGTAGAAAACTAATAATGAAAGACGATTAAGGAGTTAGAAATTTGAAATAAGTGTAAAAATAATGTAAGATGCTCCCCCCCCCCGGCCAGCTGATTTTGGGGTCTCTGTCTCACATGCATGGGAGGCAAGGCGCATGCAAGAGATGTACATACATGCACAGGGGGCGCACGCATGCATGGGGGGGCGGCACCCCCTTCACATCCTGTTTTTGCTCCCAGGAAGATGCAGGGACCCTACTAGGCCCAAAATGGGGCATGAGGGGGTCACATATGCATGTGCGGTGTGCGGGGGGGTGAATACGGGGGGGGGGGAACAAGTGCGCATGCACGGTGCGGAGAGCACGAGGGGAGTCATGCACACATTGCATTATGGGTGCGGGATGTTTTGGCACCCAACAACAAAAAGGCTAGCCATCACTAGAATAGAATAACAGAGTTGGAAGGGACCTTGGAGGTCTTCTAGTCCAACCCCCTGCTTAGGCAGGAAACCCTACACTGCTTCAGACAAAGGGTTATCCAACATCTTCTTAAAAACTCTTCACTGAAGAGACATCCAAGCTGGAACTGAGAAGAAATTTTCTGACAGGGAGAACAATTCATCAATGGAACGGCTTGCCTCATGGAGTTGTAAGTGGAGGTTTTTCAAGAAAAAATTGGACAACCGTTTGTCCAAAATGGAATAAACACACTTGCGTCTAGGCAGAGGGTTGGACTAGAAGACCTCTGTGCTCCCTTCCAGCCCTAAGACTCTATGAAATAGTGTATTTTATTCCTAAGCATCCTTACACTGTTTGGGAGGCATGCCAGGAGCAACAATTTACTCCCGGTCCAGATTTGTTTATAATAAAACCCGAATTTTATTAACCATGTGACATACTTTGGGGGCATAAATATTTCGGTCTGCTCCGGATGATAAGAATCAGAAATGTCAACTGAATTCTTAAGTTGTTCCTTGGTTTTTACTGTAATGTAATCAATTTAAAATGTTACATTTCTTGGAAAGAAGCTTGGAAAAAAGAATTTATCTGAAAGCCAAAATAGATCATGTTTGAATGCCAAGTGCCATCATTTTACGATTTTTTTTAAATTAATTTTTTTTTGCGGTTAGAACAGACTGCGTTGAAGATAAAGCAACTCCGAATACTGCCTAGCTGGAAGGAAATTGCCTACAAAACAATACTTCATTTTGCACTGCTTATATAGCATGGCATTTTGTCAAGATTCCATTCTTGGTATATGATGTGCCATCTATTTAGAAAATATGATTTTTTGTCCTACTTCGATCCAGATATTTGCAGTTATATAAGGGAAGGCCCCATTTTGGGCCTTCCCTTTTGTAAGATTTCTATAGCAGCCTAGAACATATGGTGAACACTTGAATCGCTTTTTAAAATAGCTCAAAACAATATTTCATGATGAAGCTTTTAATTTTTTGAGGGTTTTTTTTAAAAAATTCACACACATGGGAGATTCACGTGGTTCCAGTCTAAAACGGAGGCATTTCACCAATATGTTAGAATCAATATTCTGAAGATAAAGCTGAAAACAGTTTGGGGAAAAAGGACAGATATAATATTATTCAGGTGTTGCGGTCCCATCATAAATGGTTTGAAAAATTCATTCCCCCATCCCCTTTCACTCTTAAAACCCTAACCCAACCTAGATGCAATCCTCAGCCTTACTCCTTTTCCAAAAACTGTGGTTCCTTAATATTTCATCTGTGGGGTCTTTGGTGCTCCCTAAGCTCGGATATTTTGCAGACGTTTCTTTACCCAACTAGGTAACGTCATCAGTGCTAGTGAGGA